AAAAAAAGTAACCAGCCAATGCAGGGGCACAGGTAGAGAGCATGCAGGTAGAGGGAAGAGCAGGTGCAGGCTGCCAGTCACCCAGCCGTCAGCTAACCCGAGGATCTCCCGAGCTGTTATGGCGTACTGGGCATTGCCCTTCATGCTGTGTTACAACAATGTTCTCTAGAGTCTCAGTTGGAGTTTTTATTGTATCTCAGAAGTTTACTCTCTTCGTCCTACCCCATAAAAATTCTCAGGCTGGTCGGAATAGAATTGTCAGAAAAGGGCAGAGTAGATAAAAAATCTCTCCTTTCCCTGTTGTGTCAGAAAGTTCCCCAGGAAGAGACTGCCAAGCACAGGAAGATACATATATATATATGCAAATCCCCTACAAACTGTTTGCTGGCCCCTCACCTCAATGCACTAGAGGCTTCTATTAACAGGAGTCATCACACACCAAAACTCAGTGCAATGGAGGGCCTACCCTGACCCTCTTTCAAGTGAGTTTATCAGAGACCTCTTACATCTTAGGGTTTCAGAAAGGGGCTTAAAATCAGAATAAGACAGGCTCACAGATATTGCCCAGGAACAGCTGGGAGCCACAGCTTTGCCCAAAGGATGAAAGTTTGAGTGTTGTAGAAAGATGTTCAAATGAACCATAAGAATAAAAAGAGCTTGTATTTGCAGAGCTCTTTACCATTTTTTTTTTATTCCTTTTTGTCTTTTTTTAATGACCGGTAACGGGATCGCAACCCTCGGTGTCGTGCCCGTACTGGGGACCGGCAATGGGATCGCAACCCTCGGTGTTGCGCCCGCACCGCTCTCAGCCAGTGAGCGGGAACTGGTCTCCACATGGGATCCGAACCCTCGGTGGGAGCGCCGCCGTGCTCCCAAGCAGCGCACTCTCCAGTGCGCCACCGGGCCGGCCCGCTCTTTACCATTTAAAAGCCAATCCCTTCACCCTCATGGAGAATTCTCCCCAATTTGCAGATGTGAAAATTGAGGCTTGGGGAGATTGAATGAGTTGCTACTGAAGGGTCTGGACCTAAACCCAGGGCTTTGATTCCAGATCTGATGTTTCCTCTATGTATTTCCCACTTACTGAAATCTCCTTAGACAATATGTTTTCTGGAAAATTTGATGGGGCACATTTCTGTCTCTCAAAAACCTCCAGTGTGCTTAAGGGTAAAATTAGCTCTGGGTCAATATTGTCTTTTAAAATTTGTCACTTAATTCTTTACTCTTCTGATCTAAATCCAATTTGGTTTTACAATTATGAGGCAAACCTTGGTTTTTAGGTTTGTTCTTTGAATGTTGAGGACTTCATCTCAGTCACTTTGGGGCAAGGCAGGAGGTTTATATTGAGGACAAAATCTGTATTTTTGTTGTTCACTTTGGGTTTCGCTGGAATGAGATCTCAAGTACAATGGAAACCAAGAAATCAGGTCTTCAGAGGAGAGAGGAGAATGGGGAGGAAGAGGGGAGAGCTGGGGAGGAAGCAACAGATAAGTGCTAGGAGGCAGGGAGTGGAGGGCCGAGAAAGGCGAGAGAGTGCAGTGTCTCCACTCATGACGGTGCTGCCAGCTCCAGCCAGAGGTTGGGCTCAGTGTTTGCTGAGTTGAATTGACTCATACGCAGCTACTGTCTGAATCAGGCTGTAGGGATTGGAATGCATAAAGGTGGTTCCGGAAGTATCACAGGGAGAAATGCATCTGAAAGGCAGATGCTTGTCGCTGGCATGCCTGTCCTTAAAGTGTAAGTGGATTGTAGAAAGTCGAAGAAAAAACAGGCTGATTCTGATACTGCCACTAACACTCCCACCAGCACCACCACCACACCCATCTACCACCACCACCACCACATCCAGTTACCACCGCCACCACCACCATCACATTCAATTACCACCTACCACCACCGCCATATCCAACTATCACCATCGCTACAGACATCAGTACCACCATCTGCACCATCACTATCACCACCACCTCTAGTACCACCACCACCACTGCCTTTTACTGGACCCTTGTCATGTGGCAGGCACCATGCTAAAGGCTTTCAATGAGCCTGATCTTCATGACACTTCTTCACAGCAGAAATTATTAGTCCTATTCTACTGCGAAGGGAACTGAGGCTCAGAGAAGTTAAGGAAGTTGCTTGAGATCACATAGTACAAAGCCGTAGAGCCGGGATTTCAACCCAGGTCTGTGTGTTCTTCCCATAGGTGGGGCACAGTGATTCAGAGATCTGTGTTGCTGGATGCAAGGTGTATTAGTCTGTTTTGTGTTGCTATCACAGAATACCTGAGACTGGGTAATTTAAATAGAAAAGAGGTTTATTTGGCTCATGATTCTGGGACAGCTGCATCTGGTGCGATCCTCAGGCTGCTTCTACTCATGGCAGAAAATGGCAGCAGCCAGTGTGTACACGCAGATCACATGGTGATAGGAAACAAGAGAGGGGGGGGGAGGTGCCAGCGTCTTTTAAACAACCAGCTCTTGCAGGAACTAATAGAGCAAGAACTCACTCACTACCCCCACCCCCCAGGGACAGCATTAATCCTTTCCTGAGGGATCCAAAGTGACAGCTCTGTAGTTTAAGGTATAGCCTAACCTTTTAGTATTATATACAGAATGCTAAGCTTGGGAAACACAGAAAACTTTCCCAGGACTAAAGTCTCTGTTGTAGATAAAAAAATTGTAACACAGTAAAAATGCTGGCTCTAAGGGCAGATGTCCTGGGTGCAGCTAAACCTAATGATGGGAAAGTATGTGAGCTAAAGGCTTCGAGGTTGTTGGTTGGGGGATGTTCCTCATCTGCCTTCAGTTGTTTATTTAAGTTTCTTGGGGAAGTGAGTGTTGCCATGACAATTATCTCATTGTTCTTTTTGTAACCACCTGTGTTCCTTTTCTGTAACTTTCCTGCCTGAACAATAAAAACAGAGAGAAAACCTAATTCAGGGTTACTCCTGGGAATTCTCGGCTTGAAGAAATTACTCCTGGGATTAACCCCTTCTGGGCCTCTCACTGCTCTGGAGAAATGGGCTTTGAGTAATCCTTTGTGTCTCTGTCACCCTGGGAGAGGTGACAAAGAAATCATAGAAGTACTTCTCAAAGAATGAAGCACTGTCCAAAGGCCAAGGGTTAATATTTCTATTATTATCATTTTCAATTGTTTTTCAGAGGTGGAGGAGAACATTAGCCGCTTGTGCATAGAGTACAGGTGGCTCTTCTGTACAACCTTGACCCCTGTGACCTTGGCCAAGGTCTTTGGAGCCTGAGCACCTTCATCAATAAAATTGGAAAATAGCACTGCCACGTCCTTGGGCTTATGACCATATGATGTGAGGCTCCAAAGCCCGGGTGCAGAGCAGGATGTACAACAGGATGTCGTCAACCAGTGAACAACAGTCAAAGGTGAAGATGGAGGAGGAATTCTGTCATTCTTGGGGTTGCTTTCAGTGTGGGGTGATTATAAGCTTTTAAAAATTTGTTTGGCTTCATCTGTACTTTCTAGATTTTCAATAGTAGCAACCTAAATTTTCCATAAAGTATTACCTTTAAAATTCAGAAGATTTAATGGAAGATCAAATTCATGTCTGTAGCTTATTTCCCAGTCTCCTCCTGCCACCCACCTGTCTCCTTCTCTGAAAGTCTCCACCAACCCCTCCCAGAGCTGGCCTGGCCAGTTTTGCCTTGGGCCCAGCAGAGAGGACAGGGACTGCCCCTGGGGAGAACCCAGATGGCCCTGCTGGAGGGGCTGGGCTGGGCAGCCTCTGTTGATTCAGGATGGTTTGGAAGCTTTACTCCAAAATCTGCCACAGCATGAGAGCTCCCATCCTCTCCCATAGTTAGAGACCATATTTAGGCTGGAGCCCTTTGCAGGATGTGATCATGGACACTTCCCTGTGCTGAGTTTCCACCCTGCACCAGCACCTTTGTGAGCAACATTCCATCCAATTTTCCATCAGCCCCAAGAGGAGGATTTTGCCACCAACCCTATTGACTTTGCAGGTGAGGATCCTGGGGCTCAGAGAGGTTTAGCAACTCCCCTAAGTCACACAGCCAGTTAGGAACTGAGCTGGGATTTGAACTCAAAGGTCTTGAATTCTAAAGGTGGGACACTTTCCACCAGCAGGAGCCTAATAGGGGAATATTTTGGGAGAGATGGCTAGTGGATTGCACTGGATAGGGGGCATTGAGGGGACAGGGGGAAAAGGGGAGCGTTTGAAGTGGGGAACACTTATGCAAACCCCCACTTGATCATGTGTCAGCAGTCAAATATGTACCCCTTCTGGTGACACAGGAAGGAAGTTAGCCCAGTTTTTCTCAAGAACAGGAGCAGGTGGGGGCTTTGTGGATCTTGCTGACTCCAAGTCTTTCAAATCCCTGCAGTAGAAAGTTCCCACAGTCTGGGTAAAAATTTTACTTTTACTTAAAAATCGACATATCTATATTTCTTGTTAAAAAGAAGATCTTGTTTTTTAACACAAAACGTGACAATGGGATTTTGTTAAGAAACAGCAATTCAGGGCCTAACAGGTTAATGTGGAACAGCAGGCAGCTTCCCTTCCTTTCCTGGCAGCTCCTCTGGAATGAGGCTTGGTTCTGAGAGTGGCAGGTCATCCATGAACCCAAGTGACTGGGGTCTCTGGTGCTTTCTCTCGTGGTTACAGCATCACCTGCAGGTTCAGGCCCTTCGGGAAGGGGCTGCTGTCTGGGTTCAAAATCACTTGATGGTTCTGTACCACCTTGCTGGCCTGGGCAGGGCAGGAGCCCCTAGACAGGAGAGGTCGTCTTTCCAAAGTTAAATTGTGAAAGGTGAAGAGAGAGCTCTCACCCACAGCACACAGCCATGGAGGAGCACAGTGTCCCTCTGACCACACTGTGGGGATGAGGACAGGCGCCTGTGTCCCCACTGGGTCAGGCACACTGCAGGCATCTGCCTTTGATTGGAACAGGCCATGTCTTGGTGGGGACAGGTAACATACCTGTGGTCCTGGGCCTCTCACACTGAGAAATGCCATTAACAGAGGGGGAGGAGGGAGAAAATGTGAGAAGACAGGAAGGAGGAAAATCAACAGACACATGGGAGGTCTTGGGAGGAAGGGTCACAGCCCAGGGAGGGAAACGGGCCTCAGCCACGGGTCAGGGCCCAGGGCCTGGTATGCTGGGGGGCCCATGCCGGCTCCGTGGGGGAGAAGAGGGTCACCCGCGTGCAGCAGCCTGGAGGGAGCCCTNTCTGTCTCTCAAAAACCTCCAGTGTGCTTAAGGGTAAAATTAGCTCTGGGTCAATATTGTCTTTTAAAATTTGTCACTTAATTCTTTACTCTTCTGATCTAAATCCAATTTGGTTTTACAATTATGAGGCACACCTTGGTTTTTAGGTTTGTTCTTTGAATGTTGAGGACTTCATCTCAGTCACTTTGGGGCAAGGCAGGAGGTTTATATTGAGGACAAAATCTGTATTTTTGTTGTTCACTTTGGGTTTCGCTGGAATGAGATCTCAAGTACAATGGAAACCAAGAAATCAGGTCTTCAGAGGAGAGAGGAGAATGGGGAGTAAGAGGGGAGAGCTGGGGAGGAAGCAACAGATAAGTGCTAGGAGGCAGGGAGTGGAGGGCCGAGAAAGGCGAGAGAGTGCAGTGTCTCCACTCATGACGGTGCTGCCAGCTCCAGCCAGAGGTTGGGCTCAGTGTTTGCTGAGTTGAATTGACTCATACGCAGCTACTGTCTGAATCAGGCTGTAGGGATTGGAATGCATAAAGGTGGTTCCGGAAGTATCACAGGGAGAAATGCATCTGAAAGGCAGATGCTTGTCGCTGGCATGCCTGTCCTTAAAGTGTAAGTGGATTGTAGAAAGTCGAAGAAAAAACAGGCTGATTCTGATACTGCCACTAACACTCCCACCAGCACCACCACCACACCCATCTACCACCACCACCACATCCAGTTACCACCGCCACCACCACCATCACATTCAATTACCACCTACCACCACCGCCATATCCAACTATCACCATCGCTACAGACATCAGTACCACCATCTGCACCATCACTATCACCACCACCTCTAGTACCACCACCACCACTGCCTTTTACTGGACCCTTGTCATGTGGCAGGCACCATGCTAAAGGCTTTCAATGAGCCTGATCTTCATGACACTTCTTCACAGCAGAAATTATTAGTCCTATTCTACTGCGAAGGGAACTGAGGCTCAGAGAAGTTAAGGAAGTTGCTTGAGATCACATAGTACAAAGCCGTAGAGCCGGGATTTCAACCCAGGTCTGTGTGTTCTTCCCATAGGTGGGGCACAGTGATTCAGAGATCTGTGTTGCTGGATGCAAGGTGTATTAGTCTGTTTTGTGTTGCTATCACAGAATACCTGAGACTGGGTAATTTAAATAGAAAAGAGGTTTATTTGGCTCATGATTCTGGGACAGCTGCATCTGGTGCGATCCTCAGGCTGCTTCTACTCATGGCAGAAAATGGCAGCAGCCAGTGTGTACACGCAGATCACATGGTGATAGGAAACAAGAGGGGGGGGGGGAGGTGCCAGCGTCTTTTAAACAACCAGCTCTTGCAGGAACTAATAGAGCAAGAACTCACTCACTACCCCCACCCCCCAGGGACAGCATTAATCCTTTCCTGAGGGATCCACCCCCATGACTCAAACCTCTCCCAACACTGCCACATTGGGGATCAGATTTCCACATGAGTTTTGGGGGGACAATAACATCCAAACCCTGTCGCAAGGCATCTGCTGGGCTTGTTTGATGTACATCTGGGCCACACTGTTTGGGTCTGAGAGCCTCCTTGTGGACCATGACCAAGACTGACAATCTGTTTCTTTTCCTTTTTCTGACTTCCTTTCACACATTCTGGATCATATGGTTTTTCTGGTCAGAATAAATACAAATGTTTTATGTAGCCCCTTTTCTGAGCTTTGGATGTTACTGTTTGCACATAGTTCTAGAAGCAGATGGAGCCTGATAGAAATCCCAGATGATAACTCAGACTTGAAAGCTCTGTGAAAACACCCACATAGCATCAATACCTCTGAGTGTATGAGAGAGAGCCAGAGACAGACACAGAGAAAGACAGAGGAAGACAGAGAGACAAAGAGAGAGAGAAGGAGACAGACAGACAGATAGAGGTAGAGATGGATGTAGATAGAGGCAGAGAGAGAGAGTACATGCTGATGACACCACTCACTCTATTTTGGGGTCTAGTTGTTCCAGGGCCTTTGGTTACCCTGTGGTTCCTGGTTCATTAGTGCGTTGAGGAGTAGGGGTACTGCCTTATCCTGGGAGAAGCTTCCCTGGTGCTACCAGAGAACACTTGCTGAGCACCTTCTGTGTGCCCAACCTTCTCTTAGGGTGAGCAGGACTTCTCTCCCTCCTGACAGAGGCCGTGGTTTGAGGCCAGGGTCAGATGTGTCCACGAAAAGCTACAGTTCATTGCTGGGTGTGCAATGTGAACTTCAGGAATGTCTAGGCATAGCAGAAAGCATCCCCTGAAACAATTCCAAAAGTCAGCCCCCCTGCATTTAAATGCAAGCTTTGAGCACTGTGCTGAAATCGCCAATGGTTAAATTGAAGTGGAGCTTCATTAGGGCTCTGACCCATAATAAACCACCCGGGGAAACAGCTTTACAGTGGCATATTTGACCTGGAGGGAGGAGCTCAGCAGCCGTATGTTGTGTTCGGGAAAATATGTAGCTCAGAACCTACGGAGAATGTTGGTGTGGAAACCTCGATGCTGAAATCCTACAAGAGGATGAGCTGTGAGCAAAGAGTGGGGTTTCTGTTTTCTGCAGCCCTTGCTCTGAATCTTCCTTTGGAATTTTTCTCTCACCTCCTGTTTGCTGCCTCTTACATTTATCTCTTCTTTTTTACCTTGCCTACCCCTTTGGGTAGCCCAGGCCACCTGAGAAGTCACTAATTTCTTGGAGACTCATTGGTACATTGGAAACACTGGTGGCCTTCCTGCCTATCTTGCAAGGGCATTCAAAGGACAGGAAGAGATGACTGTGGAGGATACTAATACTAATAAAGCACATGTATTTCACAGGGCCTAACTCTTAGCTTAGTAGGACCACAGTCCTTAGTTTTAGAAGGGCCAAAGCCCTTTAGCATAGGCTGTAGCTTAGTAAGTGACAGCTCTGTAGTTTAAGGTATAGCCTAACCTTTTAGTATTATATACAGAATGCTAAGCTTGGGAAACACAGAAAACTTTCCCAGGACTAAAGTCTCTGTTGTAGATAAAAAAATTGTAACACAGTAAAAATGCTGGCTCTAAGGGCAGATGTCCTGGGTGCAGCTAAACCTAATGATGGGAAAGTATGTGAGCTAAAGGCTTCGAGGTTGTTGGTTGGGGGATGTTCCTCATCTGCCTTCAGTTGTTTATTTAAGTTTCTTGGGGAAGTGAGTGTTGCCATGACAATTATCTCATTGTTCTTTTTGTAACCACCTGTGTTCCTTTTCTGTAAC